ACTTCGCACAGCCTTCACGTGATCGTATCACTTGAGCGTAATTATTTACACCCAGCCTGTCGTACAGACCATTAGAGGTGGTTCCAACTCATGTGCATGGATATGTAATGAGCTATGGGTTCAGCCGTACAGGCCACAAGAGGTGGATCCGGCTAACATATTACTGGGATATTGATTGATGAGATATGGATAAGTCGTATAATTCACTATAGGTGACTCCAACTTATGAGCTAGCATTGATTGATGAGATATGGATAAGTCGTACAGGTCACTATAGGTGACTTCTGAGCTAGCATTGATTGATGAGATATGGTTGTAGTCGTACAGGTTACCATAGGTGACTCCGACTGACGTGCTAGTATGAGTTATTAAGCACATGATTATTTATATTGTTAATGAGATGCTGTGTCGTGGTATACTTCTGGATTTACTGTTAGTATACTTTTGATTTCATATGTATACGTAGTATGATTTTCTGGAAACTATACAGGTTTACAGCGAGGGGTTACTACCTTTGATCATTGAAATGATTTTGAAAGTCTTTATTTTGCCCAATCACACTTTTTATTTTGCACCCCTCCAGGTTCTAGTAGCAAAGTTCTATATCGACGAGGACTTGTGGCGCTCCTTGTGATGGTATAATTATTATCTTACCTCTACTGTATTTACTTATGCTCTAACGTCACGCGTGAAGTGGATTCATTCTCGCTCACCAGTGCACTCTGGTATTTAGGCATTCTTAGGTTTAAATTTATTCACATTTTTCCACATGATCACACTTTATGGCTTTGTTACCTTCTAGGTGTCGGCCAACATGGCTCGATTTGGAATCCTAGTGGATATTCTGGGTCGGGGTGTGTCAGGCTAGGCGGACGCCTAGGCAGATCTATGCGTCATTTCTTAATTTTCAAATGCCTAAAAATTAATTGGGGCGGTGGCTAGCTGTCTACCGCCGTCTGGGGATTTTAGAACAATGATTAAATGTAAGAGAGGGAGTAAAAGGATACACAAACTAAGATATGCCTAGTAGTCCAAGAAATTCAAAAAAGAGGTGGAAATCCTATTTTGTGAAAACCTGCTTGGCAAGAGCATATAGAGTGATAAATCGAGTCTTTTTTTTTTCCTGAATAATTATATGAACTAGAGTTAAGCATGCAGAAAAACTTGTGAGTGTTCGGGATTTCTTATGGGAAGTGTTGTTTGAATAATGTTTCGGTTGAGAGAGAGAGAGAGAGAGAGAGAGAGAGAGAGAGAGAGAGAGAGAGGATTAAGTTAAAAAAAAAAAAGAAGCGTAGTTGTTAGGCACATTGACACTAGGAGATGATGAAGCAAAGTTCAGCTGGGATCTTCTTATGGCCTTTTTCCTCCCAGTATGTTTTTTCTTGCTTGTCAAGTTGAACCCGCTGATTGATCATTACAATTAAAATAAAGTTTTGTTTTGTTTACATTTTCGTTTTTGTTTTCATAGCACTCCTAAAATCTCATCCTACACTTTTTTCTAGTGTATTTTTCTTTCTAATTATAGAAAGTTTGGACTACAAAATGAGATTTTTGGAGGGCCAATAACAATTTCCTTTCCTATAGGCAAACTTTTTACGCGAGTTTGTTGACCCATTTCAAGTTGTGCTTCTAAGATTTATCCTATTGTTCTAAGCATTCATCAGTTTGACTGTACACAAAACCCAACTAGACAAACTATGCAGATTTCATTAAACAACAGACTACCAAAATATCTAATAGCACCCCTGTTCTAACCTTCACTTGTACAATAATATTAAGCAACTTCTTTTACAGATATGCCTTGCGTTTGCACAAGTGTTCAGTATTTATACCAAACTGCAAGCTATGGCAGTTACAAGATATTTCCCAAATCTTATCTCTAACCAACCAATTATTATTGACACTAACAAACAACAACTACTAATAGATAGGGTGCTTAGCACTAACACTCAATCAATTACTCAAATACTAACAACATCCTATCATTACCCCACCCTAAAAAATGAACCTTGTCCTCAAGGTTAGAATGCAGGAAACTTGTTTACAAATTCTGCATAGTTTTCCCATTTCGCATCCTCCTTAGGTCGATGCTTCCATTTAAACCTCGGTCGTAGATGAACTGCCATGACCTGTTATCCTCATCCTCAATATTGCCAATGGATAATCCTCCAAGAGTTCGTCCTTTGTAGCTACAGGTAATGGAACTGCAAGAATGATATCAGAGCCCAATTGTTTCTTCAAGCAGGAAACATGAAAAACTAGGTGAAGTTTTGATGTGACAGGTAATTCAATTTTATAAGCCACTTGACCAATCTTCTGCAACACCTTAAATGGACCATAAAACCGTGGTTGAAGCTTATGAAAGGGATGTTTAGCAAGGGATTGGTGTTGATAAGGTACCATTGGCAGAAATACCATATCTTCAACCTCAAAAGATTAGTCTTGAGCCGAGCCAAGATTAGTCTTGAGTTGTTTCATCCTTACTTGAGCTGGGACAAGATTAGTCTCTCACTTTGATGTTTATCAACTTGCTGTTTCATCCTTACTTGAGCCGAGACAAGATTAGTCTTGAGCTGGGACAAAATTCTTCCCCTTTCCTCTAAGCTCCTATTAACCAAATCAATCTTAGTTGCTCCAAATTCATAAGTAGGCACAGCGGGAGGTGGCTGCCCATACGCAACTTCATATGGTGTAAGTTTGGATGAAGTATGAAAAGTAGTATTGTAATGCCATTCCGCCCACGGAAGCCAGTGAACCCACTTCTTTGGTTAATGACAGCAAAAACATCTCAAGTATGTTTCCAAACCTCTATTAGTAACCTCTATTTGACCATCGATTTGAGGATGGTAACTTGAATTGAGACACAATTTGGAGCCTTGCAATGCAAAAAATACCTTCCAAAAAGAGCTCAAGAAAACAGGATCGCGATCACTTACTATTGTGGATGGCATACCATGGACTTTGAATATATTGTCAACAAATATATGTGCTACTGAATGGGTAGTGTATGGATGAGACATTGGCAGGAAATGAGCATACTTGGAAAGGCGATCAACTACCACAAAAATAATGGTTTTACCTTTGCAAGAGGGAAGACCAACAGTAAAATCCATTGCTATATTTGTCCACATAGTAGATGGGATGGGAAGTGGATTAAGTAGGCCAAGGGAAGCCAAAGTTTCAGTCTTGTTTTGTTGACAAACTGAGCAAGCTGCCACCTATTGCATAACATCAGATTTCATACCCTGCCAATAGAAAGATCTGGAAATTCGCTTATATGTTTTAAGAAAACTAGAATGACCTGTCACTGGAGTACAGTGATGCACATAGAAAATCTTGTCCCGCCAACAACTAGATAGCCGTAAAACAATCCTCCCTTTATACTTAAGAAAGCCATTATCAAAATGGTATCGAGTTGTGGACGTGGAAGCACCATTAGAAGGTAACTCCCTAATTTTTGCCATTATCCAGGGATCTTGTTCATTATGCCTCCTTATATCATATGATAGTGATTTTACCACTTGTAAAACAAAGGGTTAAACCATAGAAAATTCTTGCAAGACAACAAGTGTTGTAGTATAGAATGGCTCAAGCAAGGTCGCTCTCCTCAGGGACTGGTATAAACAATTTATGAGCTTTTGTGTATTTAACTTAGTTAACTCTAAGAACTACACTAATTCAACGAAACTAAATACTATTGGATGTGACTTAAACACATCTAAAATGGGAATTGGCTTATAGGAATAGTGATCCAACTAAACAAAACAAGTAAATATATAAACTCAAGATAATACAAATAATTTAAGAAAATTAGATTGACAAGGTGCTAGAGTTCAACCTTTCACCAACAACACTCATACGAAGCTCTTCCAATTGCTTAAGTAATCGAAAACACATATGCTTTGAAGGTTGGGTTTTCCTTGTGTATGTTTTACTTGTGACATTCAAGTTAAAACGCATACCACTACATGCAATTTATCCATGACATTTGGATTAAATATAAACATGAATGATTCATTAATCTTGATGAAAATCCTTTTGTTAAACCATGTAATCCCTAAGAGTATGATATTTACCTTAAGAGAAATTACAATCCTCAATCACAAGAAGTATAACCAATTTTAACGTGACATTCGTTCAAAATTGCATCCAATGACTTTTCTAAGCATCCTAATGGTGAACAATCATCAAGACACATAGATAGTTTAATTTAGAGATTGAAAATATCAAAGCAAGCATGTAACAACACTTAAGCAATTGAAAGAGAAATCTACGTAATCATGTTGCGGCTCATGGCCTCACTCTAGTGAAAAGAAATTAGTTACACATAATTATTTGAATACATAAGAAATTATCCATGAAGAATCAAAGAAAGAGACAACCCTTTTTTACAAGGAGGTTATCTCATGATGCTCTTCGATCCTCCTTCCATGTGGACCTGCGGCTCCCTTATTTTTCTGCTATGTTGCTCGCTGCAACTCTGTCCAACGCTGCAACTTTTCCTTCATTTCTTATCTCTGCCGTGTGTTTTTGTCTTTCCCCTCTCTGCCGTGTCCTTCTCCTCTACTCATCCATGTGTTTTCTTTCTTTGCCTTTAACAAAAGGCAGCCCTTTTCCAAGTCACTAAGGCCACAAGTGGAAGACAAGCCTCATCCCACTTCCTAGTGCTCCACTTTGCTTTCTGATTTTTTTTCAAACACCACCTGTGGAGACAAGCTCCACTTCCAATTCTTTTGTTTGTTTTTATTATTTCCTTTTCTCCTTTTTGCTTGAAATTGATCCTAAAGCAAATTTAATTGCACACTAACACAAGGTAAGGTAAAATGAAACCATTTTAACACAAAAACATCACAAAGACTTTAGAAATGGATGGTATAAATGCATGAAATATATGAGTGATCAAATACCCCCAAACTTACATTTTTGCTAGTCCTCTAGCAAAACAAAACACAAAACAAAACAAAACTACTCAACTAAGACTTGACTCAACAACTTAGCAGCTAACTTCTCAATTCGATTTCATATATAAGTTCCAACCATGAAATACACTTCCAGTTTGCATGATCATATGGAGACTCCTTGTATAACTTCAAGCGATGTCCATTAACTTTGAAGACAAAACCAGTTTGCATGTTTTGGATATCCATATCCCCATGAAGATGGACCTGTACAACACGATATGGACCATTCCAACGTGATTTGAGCTTTCCTGGGAATAGTTTCAGTCTTGAATTAAAAAGCAAAACCTTCTGACCCGATTGAAACTTTTTACGAAGGATGTGAGCATCATGAAATTTCTTGGTCTTATCCTTGTAAATCTTTGCATTCTCATAAGCATCATTCCTTATTTCTTCTAGTTCATTCAACTGCAGCTTCCGCTTCTCTCCAGCTGCCTGGTAGTCAAAATTGAGGTGCTTAATAGCCCAATATGCCTTGTGCTCAAGTTCCATAGGCAGATGGCAAGCTTTCCCATACACCAAATGAAGGAGACATCTCAATTGGTGTCTTATAAGCTGTCCTATATGCCCATAAAGCATCAGTAAGCTTTAAACTCCAATCCTTTAGAGATGAACTGACAGTTTTCTCAAGAATCCTCTTGAGCTCCCGATTAGATACTTCAACTTGTCCAAATGTCTGTCGATGGTATGGGGTGGCTATGCGATGGTGAATACGATACTTGGCACAAAGGGCAGCCATGGTGCAGTTTAAGAAATGCGTACCTTCGTCACTGATGATAGCACGAGGTACTCCAAATCGGGGAAAAATAGTATTCTGCAAGAAACCTAACACCACAGAACTTTTGCATGTTGGAGAAGTTATTGCCTCCACCCACTTAGAGACATAATCAACCGCCACCAAGATGTAAAGATTGCCATGTGAAGAAGGGAAAGGTCCCATGAAGTCTATACCCTAAACATCAAATAGTTCAATCACCAAAATACTTTGTTGGGGCATCTAATTTCTCTGAGAAAGATTTCCAACTATTTGACACTTATCACAAACCTGGCAGCATAGGTATGCATCTTTGAATAAAGATGGCCAAAAGAAACTACTCTGTAAGATCTTGGCTACTGTCCTTCTTGGTCCAAAATGACCACCACATGCATAGTGGTGAGCAAACTTCAAAATGCTTTCTTGTTCTTCTAAGGGGACACACCGACAAATGATTTGATCTTGGCAATGCTTGAAAAGGTATGGCTCATCCCAAAAGTAGTGTTTTACAATGGATAGGAACTTCTTCCTTTGTTGGTAACTGAACTCTGATGGTATTTCTCCAGATGCCAAATAATTTGCGATGTCAGCATACCATGGTACTTGATGAGTAACCACTAGAAGTTGCTCGTCTGGAAAGCTCTCTTGCAGGGGCAATGAATCTGCCTCATCAGTGCTTGGATTTACTAATCTTGAGAGATGATCCGCCACAACATTCTCACGTCCCTTTTTATCTAGGATCTCCAAATCAAACTCTTGCAAGAGAAGGACCCATCGAATCAATCGTGGTTTGGCCTCTTTTTTAGACAATAAGTACTTGAGAGCAGAATGATCAAAATACACAATGTCTTTAGCACCAATTAAGTACGATCGAAACTTTTCAAGAGCAAATACCACTGCAAGTAATTCTTTTTCCGTAGTGGCTTAATTCAGCTGAGCATCATTCAAAGTGCGGCTGGCATAATATATAACATGGGGGAGCTTGTCACGTCGCTGACCAAGGACAGCACCCACAGCGTAATCGGAACCATCGTACATGAGCTCAAAAGGAAGGGTCCAATCTGGAGCTATTATAATTGGGGCTGATGTGAGAAGATCCTTCAATTTGTTGAAAGCATCATGACAATCTGCATTAAAATCAAAACAAGCATCTTTAGCAAGTAAATTACAAAGAGGACGACTAATTTTGGAAAAATCCTTGATGAATCTTCGATAAAAACCAGCATGTCCTAAGAAAGATCTCACATTCTTCACAGAAGTTGGTGGTGGTAATTTGGCGATCACCTCAATCTTTACCTTGTCGACCTCTATTCCTTTGCTTGAAATTAGATGTCCTAGCACAATGCCATGCTTAACCATAAAATGGCATTTCTCCCAATTTAACACAAGATTAGTCTCCCTGCATCTTTCCAAAACCAAAGACAAGTTATCCAAACATATATCGAAAGAATTACCAAAAACAGAAAAGTCATCCATAAAAACCTCAACAATATTTTCAACCATTCCAGAAAAAATACTCATCATGCATCGTTGGAAAGTGGCAGGGGCATTGCACAATCCAAATGGCATTCGTCTATATGCAAATGTACCAAAAGGGTATGTAAACGTTGTCTTCTCTTGATCCTCAGGGGCAATTGGAATTTGGTTGTACCCTGAATAACCATCTAAGAAACAATAGAAAGAATGACCAGCTAGTCTCTCGAGCATTTGATCAATGAATGGCTGCGGAAAATGATCATTTCTAGTGCTGTTATTGGGCTTTCTATACTCAACACACATTCGCCATCCGGTGGTCATCCTTGTAGGCACAAGCTCGTTGTTATCATTCTTCACCACAGTAATACCAGTTTTATTTGGAACCACCTGAGTCGGGCTCACCCATTTGCTATCCGAGATTGGATAAATGATACCTGCATCGAGTAACTTCATCACCTCAACTCTTACAACTTCCTTCAAGATCGGATTTAGACGTCTTTGAGCTTCAACAGTTGGTTTAGTCCCAGCCTCCATAAAAATCCTATGCATGCACAAAGCTGGACTAATGCCCTTCATGTCAGCAAGTGTCCACCCTAGAGCATCTTGATACTTGCGAAGAACTCTTAGTAATTTGTCTTCCTCCATGTCATTAAGATCAGTAGCAATAATAACAGGCAAGGTCTCGTTCACCCCGAGATGACCATACTTGAGGTGGCTCGGCAGTAGCTTGAGCTCTAACTTCGGAGCTTGCTCACTTGAAGGAAGAAATGGCTGCTTAGGCACTCCAAGGCTTTCATAAACATGTCGCCACTTTGGATTATGAATTGGTGCACTATCCAATGCAGCAATGACGTCCACCATATTTTCTTCCATAGATAAAGTAGCATCATGGTTGGTGAGGTAAGTTAACAGCTCATCGTTAGATGATCGTGAGGCAAAGTTTGCATGCACAATCCCATCCAAAACATCAACACAAAAACACTCTTCAAGTTCGAGAGGACGCTTGATAGCTTCAAAGAGTTTGAATACAATTGACTCTCCTTGCACTCTTAAGGTTAAAGTACCTGCTTCCACATCAATAAGTGTTCGGGCGGTGGCCATGAACGGTCGGCCTAAAATGAGAGGCACTTCCTTGTCTTCCTCCATGTCAAGTACAATGAAATCAGCTGGGAGATAGAATTTATCCACTTTAATAATCACATCTTCCAGAATACCCAAAGGATAGGTCACGGACCTATCTGCCAATTGAAGACTCACAAATGTGGGCTTGAGTTCTCCTTCACCTAATTTTTGAAAAACAAAATAGGGCATAAGGTTACACTTGCTCCTAAATCAATCAATACTTTATGAAAATCAAGACTACCAATAGTACAAGAGATAGTGAAACTCCCCGGATCTTTCTTCTTCGGTGGTAGCTTATGTAAGAGGACAACACTGCATTGCTCAGTTAAAATCACCTTCTCGTATTCCAAGAACTTTTTCTTTTTAGAACATAGCTCCTTCAGAAATTTGGCATATGATGGGATCTGTTTAATAGCATTTAATATAAGCAAATTAATTTGAACCTTAGCCAACGTCTTCATGAATTCAATGCATTGTTGATCCTTGGAACGTTGTTGTTGTCGTTGTGGAAATGGCAAAGGTGGCTTGTATGGTGGCTTGTCAGAAGGTGCAAATAAACTACCAAGGCCTTTTTCCTTGTTTGCATCAAAGTTGGGTCGAGATTGCACTTTGTCACTTGCACTAGGATCTGGAATACCTGCTGCAGAATTAGCCTCTGACCGAGACTTTGCAGCTAACGGTGCACTTTCAATAAGCTCTTCTTCTTCCACTTCGGCTTCATGATGCACCACTTCTCTGTTGTCATAGCTCTTGCCACTTCTCAATGTCCGTATTACTTTGCAATGTTCCATCCCTCTTGGATTTTGCTCAGATTGGCTCGGGAACTTTCCTTTCTCTCTTTCATTGAACATGGTAGCAAGCTGTCTAACTTGAGTCTCCAAATTGCCCACTGATGCCGTGAGATTCTGAATGCTAGTTTGTGTGGATTGGACAAAATTGTTGGTGCTATTAGAGAGAGCGGACATATGTTGAACTAGCTTTGACATTTGATCTTCAAGAGATGGTTTCTTAGTCTCACTAGTTGATTGGTAAGACTGTTGGTATTGACGTGGCTGTTGGTTGCCACCCCAACTAAGATTGGGATGGTTCTTCCACCCAGGATTATATGTATTGGAATAAGGGTCACTTTTGGGTCTAATGAAATTATTCACCATATTCACATGCTTTTGCACAAGCTCAGGGTAGCTATCCTTGTTGGGGCATTGAGTGATGTCATAAGGTGTCTCACTACAAATGATGCAAGCTTCTTGGGCATTGGGCATGGAAGAGACCTGCATTAAGGCAGCAAACTTGGCATTAAAATTCTTCTCCATTTTAGCAATTTGAGTAGAAACATTAGGAGAACTCTGAGAAATCTCAAAAACTCCCCTCTTTTGTGTTTGTTCTTCTGTCCATTGTTGGGATTCAGAAGCCATCATATCAAATAACTCAAATGCTTCCCCCTTGCTGATTTTGACATTAGTGACCCTCCAGCAGATGCATTCACTTGACTCTTGGTGGTGGCATTGAGATCATCATAAAATATGTTCATTAGAAGGTTAGAATCAAACCCAGCATGAGGACATTTTGTGTACATCTCATTATACCGTTCCCAAGCTTCATGGAAAGACTCGTTTGGCTTTTGAGCGAAAGCCAATATCTCTTTCTTGAGTGCAAGAGTCTTGGAAGAAGGAAAAAACTTATTGAGAAATTTTTCTTGCAATTCTGTCCATGTTGTAATGCTATTGGCAGGCAGAGAATGCAGCCACGCCTTGGCTTTGTCCTTCAAAGAGAACGGGAACAAGCGTAACTTGATAGCTTCAGAAGAGAAACCTCTGATTATGGTGTTGTCACATGCCTCAATAAAATCAACCAAATGCATGTTGGGATCACTGTTTGGCAACCCATGAAAGGATGGCAATATGTTGAGGATGTGAGGTTTGTTTCAAAGGTTGTCCCATCTTCCACATCTGGATATATAATGCACCTTGGCACTGCATTGACTCTTGCTGCCAATGAATTCCTTAAAGGTTGACCTGCTGCAGGTAAGGCTAGGGCCATGTGTGCAACTGGTGCCAAAGGTTGGAAAATATATGTGCTGCTCTCAGGATCACTGAGCAAATCCTTAAGAAAAGTATCACCAAGGTTGGTATCTTGTGCTAAATATTTTTCTCTAGCTAACTTCCTTGCACTTCTCTCTGGTTCAGGGTCGTAAGGAATAAGCACTTGATTCTTGGACCTTGTTCCAATCACCATATACTACACCTGAACAAACAACAGAAATATTAAGCCACAATAAAAATAAAAATAAAATAAAATAAAACTTAACAGAAACTAACTAAACAACAAAAAGGAAAAGAAAGTAAGTAAACCTAGATGAATCAAAAACACAGTTTATGCAAATTGGCAACCACTAGTTAGTTAAACAAAGACAAAAATCTCACACCACACATCCACTGCACTTAATCAAAGATCGAAACTCAACTAAATTAATTGCTGTTTTTTTTAATGATTAATAAAAATAAGACATAAACATAAGCATAAGAAAAATAAACACAAAAGCTCGGGAACTGTTGGCACAGTCCCCGGCAACGATGCTAATTTCTTGA